TGATTAACCCTAGTAGCCACCACCAATCCACACTCAACATTTATCTCTCATCTCCTATTTCATTATCCAAATCCAATTTGTACCCCCGCCGTGATCCATGGTTCATTTCATATCCCCCCTATATATCCTCTCCTCTCTCGCTCGAGAAAGAAAGAAAGGAAGGAAGGACCTCTTTTAGTTCCGCTGCCTCAAGGAAAATGGCGACCACTTCATCCTCCATTAATGGACCTCTTAACATCTCCATGGTACGCTCTTCTTGTCTCCCTCCCGCCCTCCCTCGCTACCACTCTAATTTAACCGTCTGACTGAATTCCTCAAATGCCCCGACTCTTAGTTTATATTTTTAAATCTTTTTAAATACTCCGTGTTTTATTAATTAAATATTTTTACGACTTAAATGTGAATTACACGAAAATTTAAAACAAAAGAATGTGTGATTCATATAACCGAAATACTGAAATGGATTTTTAAGAAATTGGAAAAACACTATTCCCATTTATGATAATTGAAAAATGTTTTGAAATACGGAGTAAGGAGTAATTTGAAAGCGTTTTAGCAACACGGGTCAGGGGGCTGGGTGGCGAGTGGTGGGGGACAGCGGGGACGTATTGGGCGGGGGTGGGGGAGGTGTGGCCGTGGGACGGGGTGGACGAGGCGGGTGGGGCTAGCAGGTAGTGGTAGGGTAGGAGAAAGTAGGGGCGGGGGAGCCAGGGCGGGAGCGGTGGGGGCAGGGGTGGATGGGGGCGAGCCAAGCCCGCAGGGCGGTAAGGGACATTGAGCGGGGGTGGAGAGTGGGGGTTGAGAGTAAGTACATATTTTCTTATAAATCAAACACAAATCATTTTCTAGGCATTGAAATTTCCAGGAGAAATATTTCCTCCTGAACAAATGGATCCTAAGTATGTAAATTTTATTTCCTTTAGCATGTCACCCATCTCTTTGTGGATTTTTTTTAGTATACTACCTCCGTGTCATTGTATTTGTTCAGTTTGACTAAAATGAAACTAAACAAACTTTGAGCTTGAAAGCATTTTTATGATAAAATTTTTATTTGTTTGAAGCTCAAAGTTTATCCATTTTGACTCAAAAGAATCAAACTGGACAAATTCGCTAGGATAGAGGTAGTAGTTTTTAAATATGAAAATTTTATATTTTACTAACTTTTTTAACCATTTACTGTATTAACTCAATTGAATAGAAAATAATTTTAGTCAAGCATCCTAAATCATCCTAAATTGTACTATATAGAATCCAAAGGGACAGAGAGAGTTTATTTTAAATGTAAAAATTTATACAGCGTATATTTTTTTCAAAAAAATAATTCGTAGGACGAAATGTTTTGTGCCATTTTACTTGGGGTATCTAATGGAAAATCTTAATATTGTTTAAAACTGATTGAATTTCAAATCTTTTAGGCGCCGTTTGGTACATGGAATTCAAACTATGGAATTGGAATTGAGGACTTCAATTCCAATTTTCATGTTTGGTAGCACAAAAATTATGTGGATTTGGAATTGATAGTGCAAAAAATGAATTGGAATTGGTGAATTCAATTATATGGAATTGAATCTGATGGAATTTTAATTTCAATTCAATTCCAATTCCATCAATTCCGTGTACCAAACGGACCCTTAGTTTCCAATTTTTTGGTTCCAAAAAGTTGGTTTCCAAACATCTAAACAATTTACTTTAGCAAAAAAGAAATTATTGTAAAAAAGCCACAAAGTGCACTAATTTGTCATTTGCAAACCCAAAAGAATTAAATGGTTTTCATAGATGCCAAGTTTCTTTATTTTGTGATGTTTCTGTTTGTGATTTTAACCTTTCTCATTTTTTAGCAAAAAGCCATCCCAAAAGTTTGTAGCCAAATAATCAAAGTTTTGTCAAATGAACACTTTAAAAGACAAATCAAGGAAGTGATCAGCTAAATGTGCTGATAATGTTTGTGAAATGGATGGACCTTAGTATATACACAATCTTGCAGTTCAGTTTGAACAATGGAAGTGGGGGAACTTCAGTTCCGTGCCCGGCTTTCTTCAGAGAGGGCCCAAAGAAAACAAGAATCCATAGAGCTGGCAATGGCATCCCGGAGATTTGTTGCAGGCGGTTGATTGTTGCAGCACAGGCACCAGAAGCAGCTGAACCTGAGACCGATGAGAAGAAACAGAGTGATAAGGACAAATGGAAGGCCCTTGCGGAGGACATATCCGATGATCAACAGGACATTGCCCGAGGAAAGGGAATGGTTGACACTCTTTTCCAGGCTCCTCAGGGTGCTGGCACTCACCATGCTGTCCTCAGCTCTTACGAATACATCAGTCATGGCATTCGCCAGTAAGTCCATCTTTCATCCATTTTGGATATTAGTGGATAGTACATACTCCCTCCATTCGATATAAACTATCTATTAAGACTTTCTTGGTACATTGAACAATGAATGAACGTAGACATAAGTTATGTCTACATTCAATCATTTTTTAATGTATTAAGAAAGTCATAATGGAGATTACAGTTAATATGGAATGGAGGGAGTATCAATTATCAAAGAACCAACTAAGCCATAAGCTCAAGCTTGTGGCTTTTGGTCAAGAAGGCTTTGATACCATGTCAAAGAACCAACACAACGAAAAGCTTAAGCTTGTGGTTGTAGGTCACGTAAAGGTTTTATATTCTAACACAAGAAAAAAAATAATGTGCGCTTTTTTTGTTTTCAGATACTCGGCATTTGATAACACAGTAGATGGATATTACATTGCCCCCGGTTTCATGGACAAGCTTGTTCTCCACATCACCAAGAACTTTGTGAAACTGCCCAACATTAAGGTTTGGCTTGTCATGAGTATACTTTTGGAAATGAGTGTGGAGTGAATAATCCGGTGATAGATGGTTTCCACAAACTTTTTTTGTAGGTTCCTCTCATCTTGGGTATATGGGGAGGCAAAGGTCAAGGAAAGTCTTTTCAGTGCGAGCTTGTCTTTAGGAAAATGGGAATCAAGTGAGTTTTGCTTCATTTTGATGGACATAGAAAAAACATTAAGGCTATGTTTGGCAAATAGAACAGACACAATGGACTCATTTGACTATTAAATATTTTAAGTTGTGTTTGGTGAATGAACACCATTTCAGGCATCTAAAGTTAGTTGAGCTATCTGAAATACAATAAGTTAAGCTAAGCTGTCTCAAATACAATAAGTTGAGTTGAGTGACTTTACAAAAGCTAGCCACCTTTTCTGGTCGTTTTGCCTAACACAGCATAAGAAATATAGGGAAGTAAACAGAACTCCCACATCATTCTTGAACAATATATGCTTGATATTGAAAACTCTCAGCCCTATAATGATGAGTGCTGGAGAACTGGAAAGTGGAAATGCTGGTGAGCCGGCTAAGTTAATAAGGCAAAGGTACCGTGAGGCAGCAGAAATAATCCGGAAGGGCGACATGTGTGTCCTGTTCATCAATGACCTTGATGCAGGAGCAGGCAGGATAGGCAGCACGACACAGTACACAGTCAACAACCAAATGGTGAATGCCACACTTATGAACATAGCTGATAACCCAACCAATGTCCAGCTTCCAGGCATGTACAACAAGCAGGAGAACGCACGCGTCCCCATAATAGTCACTGGCAATGATTTCTCCACACTTTACGCCCCTCTCATTCGTGATGGTCGCATGGAGAAGTTCTACTGGGCCCCAACTAGGGCAGACCGGATCGGTGTTTGCAAGGGTATATTCCGGACTGACAATATTCCTGATGACCACATCGTTAAGCTTGTCGACACCTTCCCTGGGCAATCAATAGGTAATCTTTGTTAGAGTATATAATCTTTCCTAGGCCTACACGCTACAACCATAAGTATGAGCTTTTGATTGATTTGGTTCCTTGATATGGTATCCAAATATTGCTTGCATGACTTGGTACCTTACAATCATTGAAAGATGGAAAATATGCCAACTCACTAAAGCCCATTCAACAATGTTTATAAAAGGAGCTAATTTAGTTTGTACAATGTTTGAGTGCAGATTTTTTTGGTGCCCTAAGGGCAAGAGTGTATGATGATGAAGTGAGGAGGTTTATCCAGGCCATTGGTATAGAAAGTGTAAACGAGAGACTTCTGAACTCTCGAGATGGACCCCCAAGTTTCGAGCAGCCAAAGATGACCCTCGAGAAGCTGCTTGAATATGGAAACATGCTTGTACACGAGCAAGAGAATGTTAAGAGAGTTCAATTAGCCGAGAAGTACCTAAGAGAGGCTGCCCTTGGAGATGCAAACGACATGCTACGTGAAAATAAATCAAACCTCTAACCATCCAAGATTATGTAAGAAAATATATACAATGTTCTTACAACTTAAATGCCACTCCCTCTGTCACATAATTATCTTCCATCTTTCACTTTTTCCATCCGTTTGAAAATTATTATCACTATCTTTTCGAAAAAATTATTCTCTGGTTGATACTGTTTCTCTATTCTTTGCATCAATCTCAACCAAACAGTTTCACTTTATTAAAAATGTGTAAAGTCAGAATCAAAGATGAATATGGGATGAAGGGAGTAATACAATTGGTACTATACTAGGAGAATAAAGAGCAGAATGGACAATCAAAATTACAATACTCAATATAAAATTACCATAAGGAAAACTACAAGAGGAGAATAAGATTATGCTTTGGATGCCATAAAGGACCTTAAATATCAGAAGGTTTGCATTACTGCTCTTTTTTTGCAGGTTCTGAAGAATAAAAGATTTGGCAAATATTGCAGCCACATCTCAAAACCAATGATTCTTATGTCATTATGCTGGGCCTGCATTGTGTGAAAACGCCAATCGCGGTTGTGGTTAGCAGCTCTTTATCCCCGAATCTTGTGGGGTCCAATTGGATTGTTGTTGTAGTAGTTGTTCTTGTTGTATAATTGTAATTAATATGCTGTATATTCTGGCATATATTATGGGTATTTCTTTTCTTGCATTGTAAATGTAATATGAGGATACATGTCACCTGCAATGCAAGTTAATGAAAATGACATTTGATTCGTGGATTGATGAGTCTTGGCCCACATCTTCTACTCTGACCCAGCTTCTTTATGTGCTTCACTCGAATGTGTATGGATGGCTTTGACATTCATTTGAATTTGAATGTTGAGATAAGATTCAATTCAGTGTATTCGCAAACTAATACTCCTTTATATTACAATTGTTCATTGTTCCTCCAAATAATGTTTATTTGTTTCTACCTTTTCATGTTTATGTATTTGTTTTTTGGGCTCATTTTCTTCTGAAGAGTTCTCCTTTGAGCATAACGGATGTGATTATCATAGTATATTTGGATGTACGTTATACGTAATGTTCAAAGGTAACATACCCATCTAAAAAAAGGTTGACATCAATTGTGCAGGAACAAGTAAAATAGGAATCCATTCAGATCATTTGGGTTCCACTTTTGCTGAAAATGTGAACTCCCTGCCACTATAATCAAAGGCATCATGGTGTGCAATGGCAGCTCTCAGTGATCCAAAGTCTGTGGTTGATGAGGAAGCAGACACCGAGTTTGTGTTTAGCCCATCATCGTTCTCTATGAGGATGGTTTCAAGTGTCTTCACTACTTCACTCATCACCGGACGCCCAGCAGCAGATTCTTCCACACACTGCATTGCCAACTCTATGAACTTCCCAAATCCCCAAAGGCTTGTTTGGATGTTTCTTAAACCAGGATCCATCATATCCCTCAGGCCACAGTGCTCCTCCTTGCTGTTTGCTATGGCTCTTACCTCCCTGACAATGTACTTACCCTTTTCGATTGGTTTTCTGGCCGTGACCAGTTCAAGCATCACAACACCAAAGCTGTACACATCACTTCTCTCTGTAAACTCTTCAGTCAAATAGTATTCGGGATCCAAATAACCCTGCAGGTAAAAATCAATATGAATATATGAAGACTGCTAGCTACAAGTGTGACTCTCATTTTGTGTGCAATACTTAATTACCAGTGTGCCTTTGATTTGAGTAGATACATTTCGTTTTGTGTGGTCGCTTACAGGCTTGGACAAGCCAAAATCGGAAACCTTAGCTGTTAAGTTTTCATCCAATAGAATGTTTGTGGATTTGACATCTCTGTGAATGATGGGAGGATTTGCTAGGTCATGTAGATAGGCTAGTCCTCTGGCTGAACCAAGAGCTATTCTAAGTCTCCTGTTCCAATCAAGCGTAATGCATCTTCTCCCTGTCATACACAAGTAAATGATTCTCATTATTGCTTCTTTTGACCACCAAGAATAAAAAGCCACATTAGTCATTTAGCGTACCTGACAAGCATTCACTTAGACTCCCATTTGGCATAAACTCGTACACCAACATTTGTTCTCCTTGTTCAAAACAAAATCCAACAAGGCCAACAAGGTTCTTGTGATGCACGCGTGAAAGCAATTCGATTTCGGTTTTGAACTCTACCCCCACTTGCATTGATCCCTGTTGAGCTCTTTTAATGGCCACCACTTGCCCACATGAGAGTATTCCTCTATAGACCTATGCGTCAGAAGAAAATATGGGTAGATCTCTTTAAGTAGAGCAAATGATGGAGGCTATCTATGAGTTCATCATAATGACAAATACTCCCAATATGTAGTTTCATACCTTGCCATATCCCCCGGAACCAACCTCATTGCTTTGAGAAAAGTTGTTTGTGCACTTTTTCAGTTCCTCCAAAGAAAACCATCTTGCCCCTTTCAGTTGGGGCATGCAACAACTGTCCGAGCCACTTGGAGCCCAAGGTGCTAAACATGAATAATATCAAGGAGCATAGTTAAAAACCAAGACTTAAACACAATGCTCAAATTCCAATATATCATCAGTATAATCCAGTGTTTACTTGAAGGTCTGCTCAGTCCAATGGCTCTTTCAGCACGTTTCGTTTGCTGAACTGCATAAACTCCCATACCAGCAAGCAACAGAACCAAAAAGGCGCAACCAACAGATACTCCGATAATCACCCTTGAGCTTATGGATGTTCCTCCATGCTCAGCTGAAATCACAAAGTTTTTTTTGTCAAAAAATCAACTTAACCAAAAGCTCAAGCTTGTGAAAAGGTTTTAAACAACATTATTTACTTGGGTTGTCTTTCACATGAACTTTAATCCTAAAACAGTTTTACTGATTGCTACCTGGAAAAGGGTACGGAGATGCTATGAAATAGTAAGGTCCGAATTCTGGAGGTGGCTTATATGTCTGGTTACTCAAGAAAAATCCAATTCTCTGAACCTCCGACCTGCTAAAATACATTCCTGTGGATGGAAAGAGTTCCAAGTGCACCTGAAGATAGTCATCAATGTTGAAAAATGGGTTCATAAGAGAAACGGAACCCGGGCTGAGTCCTAATTTTACCCATAGACTCATTTCAAGAGAGTGGAACAATTCGACATTGGACAGCTCCCGGAAGGTGGGTCCCCTAAAGTACAATGTTCCCTCGTACGGGTACGCACATTCACAACTCTGTGGGCTAAGTTTTTTATCGGAGGAACAAGGTTTGGTTCCACAGTTGGCCAGGCTTGTAGAGTATGGCTTGGCAGCTTGGTGCTGAAGGTGACAGTAATGTGTGTTTGCTAGCGCAGAGACGCATATAGGGTTTCCTATCAATCTGACAGAAAAGTAAAATACAATGATCAATGTGATTGTAGATACAGTTTGTCATCAAAATGATTGCTTTGAAAAGTTGAATTCTCCCCTCACATCAATGTCTTTGTATATCCTGAGCCAAGAGTTACTGATGATATCTCATTGTTCTGAAAATCCACAAGTTGAAGTCGGGGACTGATGCTGCTTCCCATGCTCAAAGTATCATTAAAGGCATTGTTCCGAAGCTTCCTGTTGCAGTTTTTTAGGCAATTCTCTTACTTTTTGTGGGGAAAAGTAATAAAGTTCACAACTTACACTTGTTGAATCTGAGGGAAACTGAAAAGTTTCAGTGGCACTTGTCCCTGAAGTGAGCCATATTCCATCACCCTGAGCAGCGGACCGTTAAATATTTTGAAAACAAAAGGAAAAGAAGCTCAAGAATTCAGCTTAAATTTATGATCTTGCTACTACTGACAAGGTTGTGAGTGACTGTAAAGTTGAGAACCACTCTGGAGCTTGTGACTGCTCAAAGGTATTGTTGCTCAAATCCCTGTGAAGAGAAACAAAATTTCAAACTGCAACATAATCCTTTCTTTTTTTTTACGATTTCAAGGAATCTGTTGGGAATGCCTTCCAATAGAAAGGAAGAGAAACCAAAATAAATAGGTTCAACCCACCTCCATTAGAATGAGCTCTTTTGGGAGATCACAAAAAACAAATATGTGAGGGTTTAGCTCACAGCGGACAATATCATACTAATGCAGAGTTGGGTGTGGTGCACGCAAGCCCAACAGAATTCCAATGCTTCACCCTTCTTTTTTAGTTGCAACACTTCCATTGGTGAATTTGAGATTCAAACTCTTGCAACGAAAAGAAACGGGAGAAGTATTTGAATTGGAAAAAATAAGAATAAAAATGAGAGTTTGGATTTTCAAAATCCACCTACACATAATTAAGTGAGTTCATTCCATTCAGGTCAGGTAGCGGGCCAGAGAGGCTGTTATGCGCCAAGTTCCTGCAGCCAAACACTTGCATAGTCTTTCATGTTCAAAGAAGGAACATTATGTTTTGGTCCTTATATTTTAAATGGATGATTAAAAGACACTCACAGTTCTATGGTGTTTGTCAGGTTGTTGAGATTCAAAGGGACACTACCATTAAGGAAATTTCTATCCAGCCGGCTGCATACATATGAGCACAAATGAGTACTATTGCCAAACAGGGAATAAGAAGCAAGTGCAAATGCAGGTAAACTTGTGATGCTTGAATTACTACTACTCACAGGACCTCAACTGTCTGAACTAATCCTATTGTAGACGGTATATTGCCGCTAAATTTATTCCCATCAAATAGTCTGTCATTAATAACCATTCATAATGTGTGAGAGAGAGAGAGAGGGAGAGAGGAACAAGGTGTTAGTTAGATGGTGGATCCAATATCATGACTTACATGTGTATGAGCACCATGTCACTGCTAAACAGTTTGGCGGGAATTGTGCCTGAAAGCTGGTTTATGTTGAAATGGCTGTGAAGCATTAAAAATCATACTCTTGCCATAAAAAACACTTTTACACTATGTTTGGTTCAAGGAATTTAAAAAGGAAAAGAAAAGAGAATAAAATGAAAAACAGTTTTTCTTGTTTGGTTAGAGAGGGAAAGAAAATGAGAAGACAAACACTATGTTTGGTTCAAGAAATTTGAAAGGGAAAAGAAAAGAAAATGAAGTGTAAAACAGTTTTTCTTGTTTGGTTAGAGGGGAAAAGAAAGGAAAAGTGGAAGGAAAAGAAAATGAGAAGGAAAAATGTACCCAGTGGAGGGAAAACCAAATTCCTTCTATTTTGGTGTAGAAAATGAGAGAAAACCATTTTCTTTTCTTTTCCTTCTGAATTCCTTGAACCAAACATAGTGTTAAGGACATAAAGTTCCACATTGAAGACTGAAAACTAAAAAGACTACTGTAGGCTATTCCTCTCATTGCCGATTTCTTTTGGGATGAAATTTCACAATTCTATACAGTCCAACCAAGTCACAATACACACATATAGATCACTCACAAGTGTTTTGCCCTTTTCAGAAGATCCAGTCCCGGATCTTTGAGTGTCGAAACGGGGAGAGATCCTGTCAACTGATTGTCAGCCAGGTCAAGCCAGTAGAGTTTGGATAGATTGCCCAAAGATGCCGGGATTTCACCAGTAAAGTTATTTGAGTTGAGTGCTCTATCAAGTAGCCATCATTCATTGGATCAGTGGACAAAATTACAGTTTACAAGATAAAAATGGGTTTCCAGTTTCAATCAAGGATAAGTCTTACAAGAAGGACAAATCAGAAAGTTTTCCAAGTTCAGCAGGTATGCTCCCACTGAAGCTACACCCTGCAAGAATTCTGAAATGTGAAGAAACAAGTTAATGTGGGTTGGGGATGAGGTTGATAATCAGTATCAGGTTTGTATTTTGATGTTTACTTACAGTATGCTTAGTTTCTGCAGATCCCCAATCCTTGGAGAAATGGAACCTGTGAGCCCTCGGTTAAACGACAGGTCTCTACAAAACAAAAGAAAAAACAGTTGAAAATATATTTTCAAAAAAGGATGAGTACTCAGGACCGCCATGGGAGGAGATAAATTGAGTTATAACTTTAGTTTGACAAATAAATAGTTTATTACTCCCTCCGTTCCTTTAAACCCTTCCACTTTTGACTTTTGGCAAAAATAAGGAAAGTGTAATTTTGGTTGACTTTCCAATTTTGCCCCTGATGTGATGGGTAAAAGTAAGATGTGATAGTTTGGTTATTAGAGAAAAAGTATGATGTGATAGGTAGGGTATGAAAAAGTAAGGATAAAAGTGGTTTTTTAATAGAAAGTGGAAGTGTTTTAGGGAATTCAGAAAAAACGAAAGTGGAAGGGTTTTGTGGAACGGAGGGAGTATTTGTCTCTGATACACGCAAGGGCTTCTTGCTGCACATAGTCGCCCCTTTTCGCCGTTTTCACACCCCTTCTTTGCCATCTAACTTACGCCTCCAACCATTGAAAATACATTTTGATGATAATGGTTTCGTGACAACTCACAAGGATTTTAATTCAGTAAGCTCTCCGATATCACCATACAGCCTTCCTTTCAGTCCCATGGTTGACAATCCCCTGAAAAAGAATGTAATCAAACATCATCAATTCAAATCAAAAGTGAGTTTTGTGTCACCAAACAAGAGACAATCTGTGTTATGCTCCCTCCATCCCTCTTTCTCCTTTTGACCTTTAATGGATTTAAGGAAGGAATATATTTTTGTGTTGACTTTCCAAAAATATCCTTGATTTGATGGGTTGAAGTAGGATGTGATGGGTAGATTATTAGTGAATAGATATGATACAATAGGCAGGGTAAAAATCAGTGGGGTAAAAATGGATTTTTAATAGAAAATCCTCACAGTGCAGTGACCCTGGAGTTGTTGCAGGTTACTCCTTCCCATTGTCCTCCACATGGATCATCTGACCTCTCCCAACTCGGAGGCGTGTTTTGCCACTGCTCCTTCAGAGATGTAAGCACAGCCACTACAAACACAAAAATGTAGTTTCATATTGCTTACTTAAACTTAATATTTATGCCATACCAATCATATATACAGAGTGCTTCGGATTCGATTCTGTTGAAAATGGAACTCAAAGAGTCATTATTCGCACGTTTTAGCTCTGGTTAAGTTATAAAATGGACTGTTGCAGTGCAAACCAAGTCCCATGCTGGATAGGGAAGGGAGATTGACCTTGAATATAAATTTCCACCTCACTTGACCATTAGTACTAAGGGTTTAACGTGAAAACTACTGTCAAAGCAGTCAGTCTTAACACAGATAAATCTGCAGAATGGTCCATTGAGATAGAAAATTAAAGTTTTGGCCCTTTTTGGTAGTAAAAGCAAAAATGACTTGTTTTTTTTAAGTTAGAAAATTAGATATGTTTTCATCTTGATCCCTAAACCTCAAAGAATTGAGATTATACGTTAGGGATAGTTATCGCGTGAAACGTTAAAATATTTTTGTATTGATCTTGGCAGAAGCGTTTTTGTAATGTTTTCCTCAGTTTCCAACAAACAAGAATAGACTACACATAGAGGACCAGAGGAGGCTACCCAAAGACCAAGAACTAATAAAGAATCAAAACATATACTTATATATCAAATTTAATACTATACAGAGTATATCCTAAATGAATATTATTCAACAGTGAAATGCCCAACTTGGTTAAAAGAAATTCTAAACAAGACCTCACAAGAGATGTTCTCAAAGATTTGGATCATTCTTCTTAATTTTCTTCTTCACACTATGACTATTGTGTAGAGAAAGATCATATGGAGAAATGTCACCACTTTGTTGATGAGTTCCTCTTAAAATCGTTGTGATTGTCGAATAGGCATCATTATATTGTCGCCTTATGGAAATATCACATGACTTTGATACCAGAAAGAAATCTGCTCAACACTTCTACTATACCCCCACCCCCACCCCACCCCACCCCACCCGAACCCATTCTCAAAATGAGGTTATGCCATGTTTTTACACACAAGAAAGATTGATGTCAAACAGAACGGCGCGGTATTAAAAGTACCAGCCGCTAGATATATAGGTTGATCGAGATGCATAATATTAATATAGGTGCCCGTAGGGCAGAAAAATACCATCACGAGAATCCGCCCCCTGCCCGGAGGCGGATTCTGCAAAGTGGTGGAACAATGGAGCTGAGAGGATGAAGCAATAATAGCAGAGCATCAGGTGGTGGGTTGCCATGGAGAAGGAGACCAGACCAGAGAGAGTGGAGATTGGAGAATTTGTGTGAAGTAGTGTTTGGTGTTTTGAAATAGAAATGAAAAATTTGAACAGTGACCTATGTGCAATATATATCTCCCAACCTCAATCATATACTCCCTACGTATTATGTATATGTATAGTATCTTGTCTTCAAAGCAAAGCAAACTCATCACACTCACCTGCCGCATGCATCCCCCCCACTATCATGTCATCATATTGCACACTTCCAAAGAAAGAAAATTTTAAAACGGAGTATGTGAAATATATGTAAAAGAGCATTGACAATATATCATTACGCGAAAACCAAATCGGTAAAAACTACGAGCTTTTTTTGGCAGTACCATACCAACGAGTGGCCGACCCAAAAATCTTTCGGAGTGGTGTTGTTTAATACTTCATTAAAATTACTTACTACCTCCGTCTCTGAATATTTGTCAAGTTTTGACTTTTTTAGTCAATCGTTTTCAATCTTTGACCTATATTTAGATAAAGTATATATTATATACTATTAATCAGATAAAATAGTACTTTGAAAGTAATTCATATAATAATTCTAATAAAATTATTTTTGTTTTAATATCTAATATCACTTTTATTTAATTTGAAGTCAAAATTTACCAATTTTGATTGAAAAAAAGTCAAAAGTAGACAAATACTCAGGGACAGTGGGAGTAATTCAAATTGCAAAAATTAAAATTAATAAATTCACGAAATCATATATGAAATTAACTAAGTCACCTTTGTTTTATACGGAGTATTTTTTAAATATAATTTTAAAGTATAAAAACTTTAGAAATCATCCTAAATACGACTAAAACATAAAGAAAAGTACCAAAATAGGACTTTTATGTTTTTTTCCCAGAATAGGACTTGACACTGTGGTAATGTGACTTTGCATTGTGGTAATGTAGCAGTGTACATGTGCAAATTACTATACTTTTTTGGTAATGTATATGACCATGTTTGGTAATGTAAGTCCTATTTTAGTCCTAGTTTGGTCTTTCTCTCTAAAGACTTTATATTTTAAGTTAATGCTGATATTTAAGTATGGAGTATTTTAGAAGTTGAAAGTTGGTAGAAAACTAAATAATGAAAGGTTATAATATGGAACTAATTTTACATTATTTACTAATGGCAGGGATAGAGAACACAAATAACAAAATATACAATCAAAAGAAAAAAAAGTTAGAAGTGGGAATCACAAGTAGGCATTATTGTTTCACCATCCCATGACCTTTGAATAAGCCACACCCTAAAAGCTAGTTGTTAAGGTGGGAGAACCCTTGACTATATAAACCCATCACCAAATCCCCCATTTAACCAGTGTGGGACAATGAAATCAGTCCGTATCATTCGACCCCCCATAAGGCCTAACGTCCTTGTTGGTCACGGCTGGTTTCACTAGACCACCACTCCGTGGGCTACAACTCCGTAAGCCACCACTCTGAGTTGGCTCCGATATCATTGATTCAGCACAAGGGAGAACCACACCCTAAAAGCTAGCTGTTAAGGTGGGAGAACCCTTGGCTATATAACCCCATCACCTGGGTACCTAAATATTTGTCACACTTGTATTCCCGAGGTAAAATATTAAATTTTTTCAATTCATTTTATTTACATATTAGTATAGAAATAAAAAATAAAATTTACATATCAAAAAACTAAATGAAAAGTTCTTCGAAATAAGAGGGGTCAAAAATATTTTATTTTATCAAATAACCAATGAAAACATAGGAATAAACAAAAGTTTTCGCGACTGCGGAAAAAGCAAATGTTGTAAATATTTTGGGACAGAGGGAGTATTAACCTTTCCTAGGGTAGTGTTGTCTCTGCCATTTTATAGGTAAATCAAGCTCCTCTTTAGATAAAATTTCATTTTCCAAAAACCAATTTTCAGATGACATAGTTTACAAAAAAATAGTCAAACAATTTTGAAAAATATTAATTCACTTTTAGTAAGAAAAATGTTGGGCTGTGGGCGGCTATCCATGTGTAGGGCTGGACACGGTACCGGTTCGGTACCGTCACCGGAAACGGTACCGCCGGTACCGAGCACCGTAACGCACAACGGCACGGCGAAACGGTTCCGAGAACCGGCACCGGTACCGCCACAACCGGTCTCGGTTCCGGTGCCCAAAATTCGTTACCGGCACCGCCGGTATCGGTACCGGTTAATTTTTTTTTCGTTTTTTGCTCCTTTCTGCTCTCCATCTCCATCCATCTCCGGCCAGGTGCCTTTTTCATCTCCTTCTCCATCTCCTTTTTCAGCCTTCTCCATCTCCTTTTTGCTTCTTTTTTCACAAAATTCAATAAAAAAGCAAAAAAAAAAAAATTGGGGGTGGCCAGTCCGGTACCGAAACCGCCGGTCCGGGTACCGGAACCGGTACCGGCCGGTCCGGTCACGGTACCGGTACCAAGGGGTGGCGGTACCGGAACCGGCGGTTCCGGAACCGGAACCGTCCCGGAACCGTACCGTGTCCACCCCTATCCATGTGGCCTACCCTAGAGTCAGAGCTTATTGCTTCTTAGGCTATACGGTGTGGAGTCAAGATTGCCTACGTGGCACACGATCCCAAGGGGATCAGAGGTACCGCCCCCGATCACAATTCAGTGTAAGCAGCATCCAGATGCCGACCACCACGAAGCCATTTTTGTTTATTTATTTATTCTTTCCTTCTCCTCCTATTCTTTCTTTATGTTAAAGAAGAATAATACTCCCTCCGTCCCACAAAAAAGTTCCCATTTTAAATAGTATTTAGTCAAATATTTATACTCTTTGACTACAAATTGTGAGAAAGGTATATTGAATTATGAAATAAAATTTATATAATTGGATTCATCTTAGAATCTAGTTTTGATATCTCAAATTTGTTTGGCATTTCTTTAATTAGATTATATTTAGTTTAGGGTCAAAGTGTGCAACAGTTTGACCAATTTATGGTCAAAATGGGAACTTTTTTGTGGGACGGAGGGAGTATGTTAAATACAGTATTATTTATGGAAATACATAATTTGTGGCAAAATCTATTTGTTGTAACGCATGGCTTGTGGAGAAAACGCATGTTTAAGTGACGGAGCAATTCAAGGAGATTTATTTGGCCAAACCCTTGTTAATACGGAGTAGTAGTTACCTATTTTGTGGGTAATCTATGTATGGTAGAGATGCAAATTAAAGTTATTAGACTTCCTTGTATAATATTGGCATATAAACACTCACACACATGCACGCGCACACGCACACACACGTATCATGCTGTTGAAGGCTAGCAAAGAAAATATAGTTTGCATAAGAGATTATTTCATGGTATCGGAGCCTACGGGCCTTGTAAATTTTTCGCAAGTTTTTTTTCCCGACGTAGACGTACATGGAGACTCCCGGAGAGAAGAAATCTGACGACGACACTGGCAGTAATGGAGCTCCTCAAAGTCGCACGATCTCGCCATACGATCTTCATGCTAATGATCTCGCCCGTGTTGTCTCCTCTTGTGTCTTGTTGCGATATCACGGCCAGTCGTGGGAAATGGTTCTTGTGAGAGTATGGTAGAACGAAGATGACCATAGAAAGCTTCGTCAAGTCCCATCAAGAATTGATGCACTTTCTCTTCATCTTTCTTTTTCTCCAATTGTTGAGTGAGATTACACGTACATTTACCGCACGTGCAGGTAGAGAAATGATCGACATCATCCCAAAGTTTCTTCAAACGACCATAATAGGAAGCAATTGTCAAGCCATGTTGATCACACGTTGTCAATTTCCTCTTAAGTTGTTGAATTCGTTGACCATTGACATCAAAGAACTGGGCCTTGATATCATCCCATAGGTCTTTTGCCATCTCCATGTGCGAGATCGTCATACGGAGGTACGACTCAATCGTGTTCCGGACCCAAGAAACTAGAAGTGAGTTGTTGGTCCACCAATCATCCAGATCGGGGGAGTCATCGGTAGGCTTCGGGATCGACCCATCCACGAAATCAAATTTTTTCCGAGCACGATGAGCGGTGCGGATTGCATGTGCCCACTCTTCGTAGTTCTCAACTTTGAGAATGACCTGCGTGATAATCAACCCCGGATTATCATTAGCATGAAGGTCATATGGCGAGATCGTGTGACGTTGAGGAGCTCCACTACCGCCGGTGTTGTCGTTGGAATTCTTCTCTCCAGGAGTTTCAATGTACGTCTACGCCGGAAAAAAAAACTTATGAAAAATTTACAAGGCCCATATCCTCCAATACCATGAAATAATCTCTTATGAAAAATATATTTTCTTTGCTACGATACAATGTATATATATGTGCATGCATTATACAAGGAAGCATGATAACTTTACATCTCTACCATACATTAATTACCCACAAAATAGGTAACTAATATTAACAAATTAAAGGTTTGGCCAAATAAATCTCCTTGAATTGCGCCGCCACTCATGCATGTGTTTTCTCCACAAGCCATGCGTTATCACAAATAATGATTTCTCCTCTTATTGGAATATGTTTGTACATATCTCATCTTAATTTGTTTCCTTGTAGAAGTAGGACTCCATATATGTTTCCTAATATGTTTTGGAAACTATTGTTGTATATATACACATGTAGATTGTATCCACAAACAAGTCATTCAATTCTAAAATTCTACATGGTATCGGAGCGATTCTTGGGACAACCCTAAGACTACCGCACCCATACACGTCCATCCGGCCGCCGCTCGTTCCAATCGTCGTCGTTCGTCCGCCGCTGACATCTCAGCAGCCACCCATCACCAACACCATGACAACCGAAACAACCAAGAAGACATGGTTAATTCATGATCCATCCACGATTTATTATCTTCATCCGTCAGAACACGCTGGAAACGCCTTGACCAAATACCTACTCAAAAGTGATAATTATGAGGTTTGGGAAAAAGCCATACGTAATGCTCTAGGAGGACGGGGCAAGGCTATTTTCTTGATACCTGATGGCGTTCCCAAACCCAAAGATGAACGAGAACTCTCCGCTTGGGAATCTAACAACTCTATCATATGTAGCTGGATTTTCAACAGTGTGGATGAGTCTATTCAACCGAGCATCGTCTCTCACTCCGTTGCGTCCGTTTTGTG